TAGAGACGGGGTTTCACCATGCTGACCGGGATGGTCTCGATCTCTTGACCTCGTGATCCACCCGCCTCGGCCTCCCAAAGTGCTGGGATTACAGGCTTGAGCCACCGCGCCCGGCTGTTTTTGGTTCTTTGGGTTTTTTCCCAGGGGAAGAAGCTGGAGTTTGGACAGTCCCTGGCCTACATGGGCTCCCTTTTGCAGAGGCTGCTTTAGCAGGGATCTCCTTTAGCTCAGGCAAATAAGCCAGCACCATGCCAGGTCCCCTGCACTCCTTTGTCTATTTTACCCTTTGTTCCTTGGATCTGAAAACCCTTCAAGGCTTCAGAGGAAGCTCAATGAGTTGATTCTCATGTACCGGGAGAAGAAAATGTAGAGGCGGCGGAACCAGAGGAGCTGGCTGCGGTGGCAGGACATGGCTCTCTAGAAGAATCAAAGAGAACCAGTTATAAAACACTTGCACTGGAGCTGTTTCATTACTATCAGATCTGGCCTCCTCATCTGAAATCCTTCCTCACACTAATATGTTTCATGCTATAGCCTTATCTGTCTTCTTCCTGTAACCCACGAACCTCTCTGAATTGGCCTCATATCACTGCCCCTGTTTTCCCATCTCTTGCTTACTCCCTGTGATTATAATAGACAATGCTCACGGTACTTAGAGCACTCACCATGGGATACCAGAAAACTGGCAGAACAGTCTACATACATCATCTCGATGTTAACCCTATGAGTTACTACTATTACTGCTTTTTAAAAAATAAATAGATGAGTGCTAAGTGAGATGCTAGCCAAAAAAAAAGAAAGAAAGAAAGAAAAAAATAAATAGATGAGGGAACGCATCAATCTCAAATAGCTAGTAGGTAGTAGAGCTGGCTGAGATTTTAACCCAGAGCCATCTGATTGACTCTAGAGTCCACATTCTTAATCATGTTGCTACTATTTCAAATATACAACACAAACAGGGATGTTTTATGGGAAGCAAGCCAGTACACTATTCCTAAATTCCTCTGAGTTAGGTCATTTGGGGAGATACAATCACTATCAGAAAAAGAAAAAACGGAATGGCACATAGGTATGAGTTTTTCTTCCCGCCTTCTAGGGGAAATGTACATTATTTTGTTATTCAGACCTAGTATAGTTTGGTTTTTAAACAGAATAGATTATAGCAACTGACTTCACTAGATATCCATAGAAGGATGTGCCTCTTTATTTCTAAGTACCATAGTTAACTTGCCCCTCTAAGCTAATATCTTCACAAACTTTTATGTAAAGAACCCCTTTTATGCCAGGCACGGTGGCTCATGCCTGTAATCCTAGCACTTATGGAGACTGAGGCAGGTGGATTACCTGAGATCAGGAGTTCAAGACCAGCCTGGCCAACATGGTGAAACCCCATCTCTAAAAAAAAATAAAAACTAGCTGGGCGCAGTGGCGCATGCCTGTAGTCCCAGCTACTCGGGAGGCTGAGGTGGGAGGATTGCTTGAGCCCAGGAGTTCTGGGCTGTAGTGCGCTATGCCGATCAGGTGTCCACACTAAGTTCAGCATCAATATGGTGACCTCGCCAGAGCAGGGGACCACCAGGTTGCCTAAGGAGGGATGAACCCGCCCAGGTCGGAAATGAAGCAAGTCAAAACTTCTGTGCTGATCTGTAGTGGAATAGTGCCTGTGAATAGCCACTGCACTCCAGCCTGAGCAACATAGTGAGACCCCGTCTCTTATAAAAATAAAAATAATTTAAATAAAATAAATAAATAAAAGTAAAAAATAAAACCATTTTACATTCATTGTCAGAAGCTATATAACTTTAAAGATGTAAACACACCTTTGATAACCAAGCTTTAACTGGTAAAGGGAATTAAGGGAGAACAATCACCATAGAATATCACGCAGCATTGTTTCAACAGGAAATTCAACTACAATTTTTTTTTTTTTCTGAGACGGAGTCTCTGTTGCCCAGGCTGTAGTGCAGTGGCGCAATCTTGGCTCACCGCAACCTCAGACTCCTGGATTCAGGCAATTCTCCTGCCTCAGCCTCCAGAGCAGCTGCGATTACAGGCACCCGCCACCATGCCCAGCTAATTTTTGTACTTTTAGTAGAAACCATGTTGGCCAGGCTGGTCTTGAACTCCTGACCTCAAGTGATACACCCACCTCAGCCTCCTAAAGTGCTGGGATTACAGGCATGAGCCATGGAGCCCGGCCCAACTACAGTTTTTTTGTTTTTTTTTTGAGATGGAGTCTTGCTCTGTTGCCTAGGCTGGAGTGCAATGACATGATTTCGGCTCACTGCAACCTCCGCCTCCTGGGTTCAAGATATTCTCCTACCTAAGTCTCCAAGTAGCTGGGATTACAGGTGTCCACCACCACACCTGGCTAAATTTTGTATTTTTAGTAGAGACAGGGTTTCACCATGTTGGGCAGGATGGTCTTGATCTCTTGACCTCGTGATCCTCCTGCTTCGACCTCCCAACTACAATTTTTGAAGAAAATTTACAATCAAACAAAATGGATGTATAAACTCGCAGAATGGAATGAAAATTTTGAAGACTGTAATAAAGATAAAATATTTAGAAAAACATTGAGAGAGAACTTTGTAGTCCAAAAATCACACTTGATTTATCTACTTGTAATAGTTATCCAGTTACAAGGATTTCCCTGGCTGGGCGCAGTGGCTCATGCCTGTAATCCCAGCACTTTGGGAGGCCAAGGCAGGCGGATCATGAGGTCAGGAATTCCAGAACAGCCCAGGATGGTGAAACCTCATTTCTACTAAAAAAATACAAAAGATTAGCCAGGCATGGTGGTGCACGCCTGTAATCCCAGCTACTTAGGAAGCTGAGACAGGAGAATTACTTGAACGGGAGAGGCGGAGGTTGCAGTGAGCTGAGATCATGCCACTGCACTCCAGCCTGGGTGACAGAGCAAGACTCCATCTCAAAAAATAAAAAAAACATTTTTTTTTTATTTTTTGAGACAGAGTTTCACTCATGTTACCCAGGCTGGAGTGCAATGGCGCGATCTCGGCTCACCGCAACCTCCGCCTCCTGGGTTCAGGCAATTCTCCTGCCTCAGCCTCCTGAGTAGCTGGGATTACAGGCACACACCACCATGCCCAGTTAATTTTTTGTATTTTTAGTAGAGACGGGGTTTCACCATGTTGACCAGGAT